TCATCCTATTACTCTTTCTTTAGCTTACCTGTGACAAAAAATGTGATATCCCCAAAAATGCAAGCTTTCTTAAGTAAAATATGAAGAGTATATTTATGATTCTTAATTTAATCCGTAATATTATTAAGCAATAATACACCCCCTTACACCCACATATATAAATATGCAAATATATTTATAGTGTTATGCATTACTTGCACCCAGGTGGTAATCAAGGTCATCAATATAGGAAGAAATATTTTTACCTAACTATATACATAGACATGTTTTGAATATTTGTTTACATATACTGTAGCTCAGAAATATGACCATCAAATGAATCAATATGTTTATGGACAAACCAAACATTTGCACAAGTCTAATAGATATGGTGAACAATTTGGCAAGACTTATTTCCAAATAAGTAAAAACAAAATTGAGCTAATCAATGTTCCTTATAAACACATACTACAGATCACGTGTTATATGTGTCTCCATTGTATGTATGTATAAAAGTTTTAGCCCCCTGGTTATATTTTTCAGCTTCAAGGGCAATGAAATGGAAAACGCTTTAAGAAGAAATATCTCACACATTCTAAAATGTGATTTCACCAAGGAAAATATTACAGATCCAGTCATTCTACCAAAAGCAGACTGCGTGGTCAGTTTTTTAGTTTTCCATCTGGTTTCTGAAGATCGAGACGATTACTGCCGGAACCTGAAAAAAGTTTCATGCTTGCTAAAACTGGGTGGGCATCTACTGCTATTTGGATTTTTTAAGGGAACATATTGCACCATAGGTGGGAGCAAATATCACATATTAACATCTGATAAAACGTCTGTAGAGGAGGCTCTGAGAGATGCAGGATTTGTTATCGAGCACCTGGAAGTGATAGAAAGCAAAATACGCAATGATACAACATATTGTGAACATATGTTTTTTATTAAGGCCTTAAAAGAGAGCAATGTAGTTGTTTAAAATGGGACTTCACCTAATGTTCCATCTGAAAGGGAATGCATACTTGAGAATAAATTCTCTCTTTTCAGAATGCATTATATAACTAACACACTAAATACATTTTTGTTAAAAAAATAACTTAATAAATTTAACTTCTTTAAATTTCTTAGTGCTTGCTACTGACAATTGCACCACGCACTAGTGGACAGACCCAGACTCTTTCAGCAAGAATATACTTATGAATCAGGATCTACATCTTTTATTCTATAGGATCTGCTCTTATCTCTTTCTGGGAATGAACATACACTTGTTACGGGCAAATGCAAATATTACAAGTTTTAGAATGAAATGTTGTATTTCTTAAACTGTGTACTTTGTCTTTAAGAGATATTGCAAACTGACAAGGTGTTAGAAATGGAACATATTGTTTTTCATAACTGTTTCTTTAAGCAATAACCTCAGTGCATAATATGTTTGCACCATTTTGTCCCAGACGAATTACAATAACAATAATGCATAAACAAGCTTCAAGGCTATACTACGACTCTTGCAGTACACAATATACTGTGGTAACCCCAAGTTAATGGAACTTCCCCAAATCCGGGAATCTCCCACGACTGTACACTTACGACTTAGTATAAACAACAGATAACCTATTCAGACTTTAAGATGCCATCTTGAACTAAGTCAGGAAAATTTCCATGACGTATACACCCTTTAGTTATGGCCTTGTATGTTTGCCAAATTAAGGGAGGTCCTAAATTGAATAAAGTAAAAGAAGTGTTACTTTTTCATATTTGAACTACTGTAACCTAAAATGGAGACACCTAAGGTATAAATAGGTGTACTTTTAAATGTTAAGACACAGAGGAGAGACTTGGAGACAGACGCTGCTCCATCTTAAAATGACAGAGAGGCTGACATGATGACATGTTCAGAAGGGTATGTTAACCTATTAATGATATTTGCAAGCATGTAATTTAAATCTTATAAACTCTGCTATAATGGATTTTATATTTTTATGTAATAAATATCCAAAAGACAATCTTGCTTCCAAGACAATCCTTATTTTATATTGTATTCTCAATTATTTATATATGGTAAATAGAGGATCTCTTACACTATATAAAATTATGGCTAAGATATCTGTATGGTTAGCCCTACTAAGTTCTATGCTTTAAGACATTATAGTGGTAAATAAGGGAACCACACACGGTTACAATTGGCGACCACGAAGGGACTTTGTACTTGGAAGCTTTAAATATAAAATAAATACCTAGGTAACCTCTTATACGTAAGAGAAGACACAATACTTTGTCATGGCACAAGTCTTGAAATATCAAGAATCTATTGAGCTATGTGTAGCCCAGACTCAGAGAGAGATCATTAGAGATGATTTTAATGTGAACAAGGCACTGTGAGTTCAGGTGCCAGGTACAATGTAATTAGCATACAATGCTGAAATTGTGGATCTTAACTAATATCATAATAGAACAAATATACATATTTGGTAAACTCCCTGATATGCCTAATACACCAGCACAGCATGGCCCGTTAGTTCCAGGACAGTGGATTGCAGACAGGGGGATATGTTCTCTTTGTAGCTGCTTAGTATGCATGCACAGGAAAAAGATTAATGCAAAATGTTGTCAAAAGAAAAGTGATAAGACAGAGCGATGAAATTTGAAGTCTAATTCCAAGAATGCAAAGAAAAAATGCATTATGGCTTAATGAAAACATTCATGCAACAGACAGACAGGATTTTTAATTATTGCATTACTGCGTTCTGGATTCTAATGTCCACTATATAAGAAAAGTTTTATAAAACAGTGATATTTTCCATATTGTCAGTTACGCTAGCTGTTGATTGAAAATCAGGAATTATAACAGCATAACTATTTTTTCAGTCTGGAATTTCCAGCCAAGGTTGCAGAGATACAGAGACATGTAAACATTCCAAGGAATTGAGAAGTCGTTGTTTTATATTCCAAATTATGAACAACATTATTACATACAGCCATAGAGAGAAAGACATGGCTATTAAATACATTGAGTGCAGTACAATGCAGTATACTGCAGCATATATGTTATATAATATAAGATAACTAGCTCATATTTTTTCCTAAACAGAGTTGAAATTATACTACCCTCCTAGAAAAAAGGGCAACAGGTGGTTATACATCCTTTGCTTCTCTAAATCCTCTGCAAAAATAAATATTTATAAAATGATTAAAAGTAATATATATGTAAGATAAATCAGGGCTAAATAAAATTGTAACTATATAGGATCTCTAATAACTTTTAAACTGAAATTATTAAAGGCTTATTTAAATAAAATGTTAAATACATTTACAGCTTTAAATGTGACCAAAAGATACTAAATGATGTGTTAAGCAGCCAGTCTTCTACTATTTAAAGTGCACAATTCCTGCACATATTTTGCTTACTCAGGTACAGTCTTTAGTCTATTGCAATGGCAGTAAAGTCCACCAATTTTAAAAGGGAAAGCTTACTTAAATCAGTGGTACTATCCCACCGTACTAGCAGTAAGGAAATTAGAACAATTATATTGTACTACTGACTGTAATCAGATCAGACACATGTAATCTCGGTGAATTTCATAAACTAGGTTTTCATAAAATAAAATTAAATATCAATGTTGTTTATAAATAAAAGTATATAGACTAGGCAATAACAGCATTTACATGCATTTTTGTTTATAATCTTAATTTGCAGATATTTTATGCCTTAAAGACATAATTAAATATTTAGACATAATTTTATTAAATATGCAGGTATCTTTAAAAATTAAGCAAAGTTAAAAAATAAAAAAATAAAATAAATAATAATAATAAAAAATATATTTTACACCACAATATAAACAGCTTTGTTAAACAGATTTAAGTACAAGTACTTATGACAAGAAATATACAGAATACGTTTACAACAGGCAGGTTTAGCATAAATGCAAAGTTGTTGTTTTGGGGGATTTATTATTGCCCAAGAAATCTCTGAACATATTCAGAATTTTTGAGAGCAGCAAGTATAGACAGCAGATTGCAATGGACACCATTACAATATTGCTTTGCCGATTGAGGTCAGAGGTTTAAAGAATAAATAAATAAATAAATGTTCTATAGCTCACTAGACCACTAGCTTTTAATGAATAGTTTGCACAACACTTATAAATAGTTTGTAATACTGCACATTATAGCTGTGACAACATAATACACAGGGTAGCAATGCTATGTCACTGTTTAATAGACTTACCCAGTATTTAAGGACGACATGTTTCTTGCAAAGTCATCGGGTCTTTGACATCGGGTTCTAACTACATTTAATTAATTAATTAACTTACTAAAGAAAAAAGAAAAAAAGAAGGTTTTGTTTTTCCCCTGCAAGTGAGTTTTCAGCGCAAGGTCATCTTGTGTTCAGACTATTCGGATTTTAAAAAAAGCTGTTCTTTATCTCACATTATGATCGGCCTTGTAATTCCTATCCACACTAAAAGTTGGCTTTTAAATGTTATTGTTTTAACTTTAATATTTCATAGTTAATACAGAGGATAAAGTAATTTAAAGAAAATATATTGAAACTATATTAATTGATAGGATTTCATTTATCTATTTTGGTCCACTGTTCACTGATCTCGAATCTCAGTCTGGTGTTCAAACAGTTTTTCTTACGATACGTCGTGAGTTTATATCCACAACTGCGTTTTGCTTTGTGATAACAAATTGAAAGCCTGGCATTGTAATACGTGTATGGACATGCTTATAACAAAGCATGGTCCCTCTCCTCATGTAGTTGGTCATTAACAGGCACTTTGATGCAATGTGTCTACCAACGCTTTTCTGTGGTCACTGGATCACATCGCATACCCTATCTCTCAGTCATGATGCAGAGTTTATGCTTGCAAGGATATCCAGACCTTATCCACCTGGTATCCGCATAAATACTCCTATCGTTTAGAGGGGTTAATTACATAATAACCATTGAAGGTAATATGTTGGTTGTTCTTCCTATAGAGGAAAGATGGACTTGCCCTAAAAGCTTTTTCATGGCTAGGACAAGCTCTTATAGAGAGAGGTAATGTACTTCTGACTCCTGAAAAGGAATATTGTTGGTCACAATATGGGAAATACTGTAATTCGTGTGTTTAGTAATCTGCTTATTGCCACATTACTGATGTACTGTTTATTGAAATATTAATATCTAACGTACTTTTTGGATTACTATATATTGGAAGTTTGCCAACATCTCATGGTTATAAATATGTTTTTGTATGTGTTGATGCATGTGCCAGGTTTACTTGGATATATCCTGTGCGAAGTGCAACCTCTGATGCCACGTTTCCTAGTCTCACTTCCTTAGTATGCATTTGATAATCCCAGGACCATCCATTTGGATGGTGGTCCTGCAGTTACTGCAAAGGAAACCTAAAACTGGGCAACCACATTTGGGTTACTTTGGGATTTCAGTGCCCCAACCACCCCCAAAGAAGTGGGGTTGTGGTCTGGGAAAATGCTGAGGTTAAATGATTATTAACCAAGTTACTAGTTGCTTGCCCCACACAGTGGTATCTATTTATTCCTATGGTACAGATAAGCATTCACAACATGCCTGATGATACAAATGGTGAGACACCATATGAAATGTTACATGTTTTTTCACTGACAATTATATTTCTGCGCCAGGGAGAGCTTAGAACCATTGTTTCTATTAGAGAAATTAAGGGAATTTTTTTTCCAGCCCACCACGCCTTGCACCACCACCTATTTCCTTCTGTTGGCCAGCTTGTCCTGGAGAGGGTGACTCAGATAACTTTTACTACAGAGAACAATCAGAGCCAACAGAGAACAGTAAGTTTTGATATTTTACAAAACCTGCTAAATACTAACAGGACATTCACAGAACATTCACAAAACCTGCTAAATACTAACAGGACATTCACAGAACCACTGACTGACACAATGGATGCTGTTAAAGAAGACAAGATAAATCAAACAGAGGACGACAGAAATGCCACCAGAATCATAGCCACGTAACAGACTGAATCGTGATCTGAATCTGCAAATGTGAAGGAGAAGGATGAACAGACAGACGTGATACATTCACAGTTAACATGGAATGTATGAAAAATTAATCATCAACATCATTATAAGAAAGACTGTGGAGAAAACAGACTGAGCCTGAATTATCTTATACAGTAAGAAAGAAATGCAAAGATGGAAGCAAAAGGATGCTAGAAAATTGGTGTCTCCTTCTTACAATCTGCAGCATTATCATAACATCAACCCTAGCTGTCATTTTAAAACTGCATTGGGATTATGTTAACAAGCAGGAAGCACCTGGACTGAATTGGACTGTACACTATACAAGTTCTGTGATCGTGAGGACTACCTCCAAGAACTATCTCATAAGGAGAGACACAGCTCACAGTGAAATGATTGCCTACACTGGTATTTCACAAGGAACCTATTGAGATTATTCCAAAAACCGATTATACATGAGAAAGATGTGATTGGACAATTACAAATCCTAATAATGGAATCAACAATGATGGCAAAGCATGCTGAAAACAGAAAAAGACGGGAAAGATGCTTTGGATGCACCTATGAAGGTGATGCAAGAAAAGACTTTGCCATATAGTTTATCATTGAATGACTACCGCAAACAGCCTTCTTATGCTGAAAAGAAGTGCTATGCTAATTCTGGACATTGCTATTATCCAGACAGAAGATGACCGGAAAAAGAAATAAAGGCTGATAACTGTCAACTCCCAGCTGTTTTTCAAGATGGAACATGGTACTGACAAAACCTGATTGACTATCAAAGCACCTCACAGTACATGACACAGATTGTTAACTACAACTCAGAAAAAGTGGTTAATAGGAAGGATACCACTCTATGTATATATATATTAAAATACACGTAATCAAATATTTTATCAGTTTTTCAAATACAAAGAAAATGTTATTTGGTTTGTAATGGTTAAAGGTACATAAACCACCTATACAAAGGTAGAGTTAAAATATAAATACATTCAATATTGTATCGGAGTGCTTTCTTAACTCACTTTTAGAAATAATAATACATTCTAATCATCTTAAGCTACATCCAACAGCCACTGAAAAATATACTTAAACAATTAAGATTCACATTGTTAAGCATCCAATCTCACGAATGTAACTTTCCACAATGGCTGTCAGATCTTGGTTAAAAAAATAAAATAAAAATAAAAATGTTTTCTAAGACAATATTTGGGGGTTTCTGGTATTTTAAGCCACTAATAACTGTAGTTATTATATTTACTAATAATAACTAGGGAATAAGTTGTCTTCTCCCTAACAGGACAAAGAAAGATAATTAACGTCATATTTCCAATTAGCAACTATTCTACATATATTGAGACATTTTGAATAAAGTAGTATTTTTAACATTTAAAGAGAATGTAATTTTACATACCATTGTGAACAAAGGCGGTAAATACTTTGCTGCTTCAAATTATCCTTATATCTCTAAATCATATACGAGTGTTTATCTTTAATACAAAACACTAGAAAGATTAAATATGTTACTATTTCATCTATCATTATTATACAAAGTATAACAAATGTAAAGATTTTTCCACAGATTTTACCTGTTAACATTTTTAGCACAACAGCACCTGATGTCAGTGAGATGTCTATCACTGAGATGTTACAAAGATTCCAATACAGCAAAAAGAGGCGTTCCTGAGAATCCACTTCGATTGCTGTATCAACATAACATTTACTATAACGGGATCCATGTCACTTAAGACAATGTCTTGGAAATGCTGTCAATTAATTGATTCCGTAAATGAATATCAGAGAGTATCCAGTCTATACACATCATAAACGGTGTAAAAATGTTTCATGGAAAAAACAAAATAAAAAAAGACAAAGACAAATACCAACACCATCACCACGGTGATAACAGATGATGCTGATCAATATCTGCAAACAATTCTAGCCAAATATTTGGAAGGCTGGACTCTACAACCTATACTCTACAACAAATACCCGGGTATTCTACAAACACAACCTCCAGCAATGTATCTAAGGAATGTAAACTTCTACAGGCCTTTAAAGACTTTGGATTACAAATACTATTACTACTTTTAACTTTGGATTACAATTCGTATCCGGATCTATCCAAGAATATCTTACTCTGGAACTTGGTGTTCGTTTCAATTCTTTCCCAGACAAAAGCTTTGCTCATTTTAATCAACCACCTTTACAGGCAAAGATCACCCTACGGATATTTTACTGTTACAACAATGATCTAAGATGCTGGGAGCATAAAAAACCTAAAGACAGTTGGAGAACTTTGGTTTCCTAATTTAAGGAAGAAATGCGCTACAATGCCCACAGTTTAATGGAGAGGGTGTTACGGGCAAATGCAAATATTACAAGTTTTAGAATGAAATGTTGTATTTCTTAAACTGTGTACTTTGTCTTTAAGAGATATTGCAAACTGACAAGGTGTTAGAAATGGAACATATTGTTTTTCATAACTGTTTCTTTAAGCAATAACCTCAGTGCATAATATGTTTGCGCCATTTTGTCCCAGACGAATTACAATAACAATAATGCATAAACAAGCTTCAAGGCTATGCTACGACTCTTGCAGTACACAATATACTGTGGTAACCCCAAGTTAATGGAACTTCCCCAAATCCGGGAATCTCCCACGACTGTACACTTACGACTTAGTATAAACAACAGATAACCTATTCAGACTTTAAGATGCCATCTTGAACTAAGTCAGGAAAATTTCCATGACGTATACACCCTTTAGTTATGGCCTTGTATGTTTGCCAAATTAAGGGAGGTCCTAAATTGAATAAAGTAAAAGAAGTGTTACTTTTTCATATTTGAACTACAGTAACCTAAAATGGAGACACCTAAGGTATAAATAGGTGTACTTTTAAATGTTAAGAGACAGAGGAGAGACTTGGAGACAGACGCTGCTCCATCTTAAAATGACAGAGAGGCTGACATGATGACATGTTCAGAAGGGTATGTTAACCTATTAATGATATTTGCAAGCATGTAATTTAAATCTTATAAACTCTGCTATAATGGATTTTATATTTTTATATAATAAATATCCAAAAGACAATCTTGCTTCCAAGACAATCCTTATTTTATATTGTATTCTCAATTATTTATATATGGTAAATAGAGGATCTCTTACACTATATAAAATTATGGCTAAGATATCTGTATGGTTAGCCCTACTAAGTTCTATGCTTTAAGACATTATAGTGGTAAATAAGGGAACCACACACGGTTACACACTCAGTACAAGATTTTGCACAACACAAATAACACTGACACAGGTAGCCTGGAACTCAATGTCCCAACTGCCTTAGTGAAAACCATAACAGTGATAGACTGAATGTTGTTTTTTTTCGTTCTCACAGTTGTAAAAAAAAAAAAAATTTATGTTCTTTGGAACATTTATTTAGATTGTTAACATTCATGCGGAACTGTCAAAATCTACTATGTTGCTTATTGAATATATACTGTTATATAAATAAATAAATATATTACTACTAATAATGATAATGTTTTAATTATTTAAATTATTACATAAATAACCAACACAAATGAAGCAAAATACAATTTAAAACAGTTTTTATTATTTTATTTAAAATGTATTATGGTCTTCAACTTGATTTTATTTTATATTTTCTTCGTTTTACGAGAATGTACATGGAAATAGAAGCCAACAATATTGGAATATATGTTTATAGAATGTATGATGTTCAATACAGTTATTACTTAAAAACTATATGAAACAAATTAGGAATAAAATAGTGAATAAACAAGGAGAATACAACTAGCTTATTTAAGTCAACATAAAACTTCTAGAAATTAAATTAAAGGGATGCAATTAAAGGGACACTATAATCATCAGAAAAACTATATCCTGTCCCTGCAGGATGTATTCCTGTCCCTGCAGGATGTTTTTACATTGCAGCCTAGAAAAACCTCTAGTGACTGCTCCTCAGAGGACCACTAGAGGTGCTTCCTGGGTGTAGCTCAGATGCTGAACTTTGATTCAGTGCATCTCTATTAGGGAATTGGTGATTGGCCAGGGCTGTGTTTTGCTCTGCCATTGTTCTGTCTTCTTAGCTAAGATTATTAGAAATGACGATCTCAGCAAATGCAATGCTTTACTAGCATTGTGGTTGGCTGAGATTCTCACTTCTGATGATGTTGTAAAGGACTGCGGAATAAGTAGGCAACATATAAATGCAAACGTA